AAAAAAAAAAAAAAAAAAAAAAAAGAGATCACAATCATGCAACACACAAGAAGTTTGTCCCTGAAATTTATCCTAATTACAAGAAGGTATCTGTGTAATAACGACTACCACTACCAGTTCCTTGTCGAATAGGACCAACTCGTAAATAGAAAAAGTATTGATGGAATATCTGAAAATTCTTAAAGATACTCGGGCTTTTTTGCAAACTGTAACTACCGGCTTCAATGGTACGTTTTTCGTAGTCAAGTCCTAAAAAGATGGGAAATTCTCTACCCACCACCACCACCACCCGACCAGCGAAAAAAGAGAGAATAAACTACAAAAAGGAACCAAAAAGAAAAGAAAAGGGAAATCTGTACAGTTTGCAGGCTGAATGCTTTATGATCTGATATTTCTGTTGGATCAAATCCAACATTGTTTTCCAGGTGTCCTGAGCTGTCAGTACCAGTAAGCATGTGTTCATAACAGCAAATTAGGCTAAAGAGGGTCAGCTCTTACTTTTTTTTTACTCCACTTTAAGAACAATCTTCATGAATTCATACACCAAATAACTAATGGCAGCTGACGGTAAAACCTGAAAAGCAAAAGTTAATGGAATGCGGTACGTACAGATCATTAAAAATTAAACCGGGATGAAAAGCAAAAGTTAATCATGGCAGTACTTGGTATAAAATTTATGACAATCAAGCACAGCTGCGCAAGGATCAACCAAGACAGGAATCGAGTATAAATCAACATGCATAGCAGATTCGAGGTTCAAGCTTTTAATTCAACTCTACTGTTCTAATTATGTTCACCAAAATGACTAACATGCGGTCACATTCAAGGGTGAATGGAAAATTATTGCGGCAAAAAAGAAGTGATACTCACATTAGTAAGAGAAATAGTATTTAAAGCTTGTTTTGCATGTTATTCAGGGATATTTTTCAGAAAGGGGAAAAAAAGTTGGATGGGCTGTAATTGAACAACATAAACACTACTTTTGAAAATTATGCAAATGATACCACAAGGGCGGGAAAATAACGACCGCACATGCCCCACCAGGTCTCGTTATTAGGTATAAGCAGCTGATTATTGAAGCCTATTATTCAATAAACACAAAGTTCAAATTCTACAGTCCATCTCTACTATAAATGTGCGGTGATTGATTTGGTAACTGCTTAAATTTGGAGGTGTATATAAAGACTACAAAAATGATATTATTTACCGTGCCAAGAACTTGACGTGGTATAAATACTCTAAAACGTTTGTCACTAAAATTTCATCCAAGTACCATCAGCTGTGCCTATGAGTATGAAGTGTTTAGCTTGGCAACGTTTAAAAATAACTTTTGAACATAAATTTCGTAACAGTAAACTGAAACTTTTTTCGTATGTATCTACTAAAATCATTGAACGCCAAAATTCTGTGAACTTATTAAAATCCTGACATGATCTACAAGTTTGTCCTTCTAGGTGCAATGTTGCATCTCTCCATTTGGTAGGTCATACCCGAATAAACTACCTAAACCTCCATTAGGCAGATCATACTCAGACAAACTACCCAAATGTATAAAAGCTTAGATGAGTTACAACAATGTCTTTCAGAAAAAAGCAATATTAATTAAATCACAGTAGAAAACAGACACTCAGAAATTTGAAATCAGGATTTAGTAAATTCACACAATTACAATATCATGACTTAAACAGCAAAGAGAGAGCCACAAAATATTAAACACAAACACATTTCAATTTTTTTTCACCTGTAGCCATAAAAAAAAAAAAAAAAAAAANNNNAAACAGTTTTAGTCCACACCTGCAATAAACTCGGTATCAATCCTGCATATAATGCTGGGACACCACCCTGCCTGACTATCTTCAAACAAGTCTGTAAAGCACCCATCTGCGCCCCACGAACTTGCATCTGAAGTTGTCTCCTCACCACTTCAAATGGGTATGTAGCAGCTTCGGCACAAGCACCGGCTATCGCCCCATACATCAAAGTTCTGATGGGACCCAGCTCGAGTTGTTCCAGAGCATTCAACTCCTCACCTTGTTGCTTCATGTGCTGGAGCCTCTGTTTGCCTTGCGGGGAGTGTAAATAAGCCGATTTCAATATATCATAGACTCCATAGAACACAGCACCAGAAGGGGCCATGCTGATGATTGAGGGAACCAAGCCCTTGTACAGAGAAAAGAACCCTTCGGTATGGATTATGTGGTGGAAAGTGCCAATTAATCCACCCAAGTTTTCTCCCCCAGGTGCAACCATGACTGTCCTGATCTGAAAATTTACAAAGAAATGTGTCATTTCCAAATACAAGTTACTGTGAGCATAAGTCTTATCACCTCATTCTTATTGTATACAAAAGCCAATAGTAATCACTTTGCGCCATGGATTGGAAAATTGTTGTTTTACATATACTGCCAAATTTTGATTAACAATCACTATGATTAAGTAGTAGATGTCCAAATGTACAAAATGTGCATGGAATATATGAAATTTTGCATAATTTGGGCTAATGCCATTTGACATGTCTCAAAGATTCGTGATGTCGAGTGAGGCTACATGGAGTCAATATCCTGATAATAACCCTTATATGTAGTTATCGATACAATAATATTACAAACGATTTTTTGATTTCTGACAGAGTTAGAATTTCCTCGGTAGTATATATTAGCAGAAGCTGTTAACAGCTGTACGAGGTTGAAGTGAGTCTGACGATAATAACTTCATACTGATGAAATGAAAGTCTACATGATTTTTATTGATCACATTTGCTTAAATTAAGAAGAAAAGAAATAGCAAAGAAATGGGTGATAGGTTGAATATTGTGCATATTTTATATATTTAATAGTGTATGTCTAATATGCGCTCAAATAAGTCGCACTTATATATTTTTCGACTTGTTTTTTATGGATTCGTGTGCTTTGATACATTTATTCTCTATTTTTCAACATTTTGGAGTAATGACATGGACGACGAGCAATTAAACAAGAGTTCGAACAAGCATTATTGTGCCTCTAATACCAGAACAGTAAGGCCTAATCTCGCCCAAAGTTGACAGAAGGCTCTAAAGTCGATAAAACTTGGGGACGCTGCAGCTAATATACGAACTGATTTTCTAGGAGCATAAAGTAACACATTTAGAAGAACTAGTCAATAACGTATTTAAGAGGAAATCAAAGTAAAATATAGAATTGGGCGATGTTTCATGAATTGGGCCCAACATTGACTTTCTTGGGAGATGACACTTGGGGAAGCAGCTAGAGAATTAATTAGAAAAGAGGAGCAACTATAAAGCAGCAGCACAACAGAGACTTGGAGATTGCGGACAGAAAAAGAAACAAGATTGGAGACACACACTCCAGGAGTGAAGCCGCACACTAAGGAAAAAATCTTTTTCTTCACTTCTAGCTCTCTCTATTATGTTAAAGTAGTTTAATTTGTCCAGTTTAAAGGTTTGCTTGAATCCTAACAGTGATATTTCTGCGAACAAAAGGATCTTTTTCTATATAACATTGATTAAAATGTTGTATTATTTTCGTTGATGAGTTGATTTATGCTATATGTTCTTATTATTTATGAATTATGGATGTTTGATTCAATTAGGCTTGCTAAGTTGATAATGATTCATTTCATAGCTTTGAGACTTTAAGCTGTATTTGTTATTTGTTATTTATCTCGGTTCATTCACTAGTAGTAAACCAGGGGTCATGCATCTCTAAGATAGCATAAACATAAGTTAAACATGTATCAGTTGCTTAGACTAATCTATTTTCGTAGGATTAATGTTGTTGGTGCATTAAATCTAAGGAGCTCATTCTGAGTTAGTCACTAGTTAGATGTAGTCAAAATCTTATTTCGATTAAATATTCGGTAAGAGAAATCTCGGCAAAAAAAACTTTAGTTAATAAAGGTTAGTAATTCATTAACAATTTTAAAAAGATATACTTAAATTATGGCAGAGATTAATTAAAGATATACTTAAATTGGGTGATTACTGATATGAGAATTGGATTCCTCTCATTCATTTCATATATTTTATTTTGTCATTTTATTTGTCTTTTTATTTTAGTTGTTTCATGGTTAGTTTAGATATCATTCTACAACCCCCTACTTCGTTGATTTCATAGTTCCATTTTTCAGTTAATATAAATTAGTTACAATTTAGTTTTTACTCCTCTTTTTGGATCGACTCCAGTTAGCGGAGATTAGTCAAGCAAAACTTAATAACTTCAAATTTGCCGTGCCACGATGCGCAACAAATGTGCCACGATGAAATGTAGGGGAAGCATGCAGAAATGAGACATTTTAGCCCTCTTTGGAAATTAACATAGGGAACCTCCTTTAGTTCATCTAGTAAATGCAAAATGAAAACAATTTTAGCGTTTGTTTGGTTTTTTCTTATCAGGCCAAGCCTTAAAGGCATATACTCCAATTTTCAAGCTAGTACATCTAATTCAAGCAATCAATGTAAAAATACAGGAGATTTGTAGGGTAGCTCACAGTATCCATAGGTATACAGAGAATTGTAGCAGTAATTCCAGCTGCAGCACCCGCAATGAATCTCTCAAGATTTGTCGTCTCTTCATTGCCAGACAATCTGAGCAGCTGATTTCTATATGTATCATATGTATAAAAATTGATGGCCTTAAATGGTGCTGTTCGTAAAATATTGACAAAATTTCCTTTCCAAAATCCTTTCAGCCCTTGGGAAGCTGCTATCGACTTAATGAGCTCAATAAGATTCCTTTGTTCACCACGAACTATATATTCCAGCTTTAATCTCTCTAATGGTGCAACAAAGGTTCTGGTTCACAAGAAAGGACACAATATATAGAAAGTTAAGCTTATATCAAATGTAAACAATAAACTTTATGCGAAGATGTAAAATGAGTTCACAACATGATCTCATTCAATCAACGGTTTTGCGGATACAATCTCTATATGAAACCCTCTAATATTCATCTATCGCCTTGGTTTTATATCTTCGATGGGGATTCACCTTTTGTATATCCTCCGGGCTTTGATCTTGAATTCAATTAACATTCATATGGGGTGGAAAGACTTATTTGGAGGACTTGTGTCTTCGATATTCCTTGAAGATGGATTTGAAATTGAATGGTGTTGATTCAAGGGCTTGAAAGTTTTTTTTCTCATATCAAACATCATAATTTTACCAAAATGTGAAGAACATAAATTCTTGTCTTTTGAGAGCTTTTGAAGAACTTGAAACTTATATTATGAGGTGTATTTTTTGGCTTTCGGAAGGTTGGAGAAAGAATCATACCAAAATTACTTGGTGAATGATGCAATTTGATTGGTCCTTCATAATTCCGATATTATCTCCATCCGGCATCCACCGTCTTGAGATTTGACTTGTTGGGGAAAAATATTTATGTTATTAATCAAATGTCTTAGTTATCGTGGATTAATGTCCAAAACTAAATAAAGACACTAATCAATAAAATATATAAATATTCACTGTCCACATGGCATTTACTACGTTTATATATCAACCACCATCAACCAACCAACCAAAGTTAAGCTGCTATGTGTGTTCTCTTTTAGATATTCCTAGCATGTCAATGTTCCCCAGGAACATATCTAACTTCTGGATCACACATGCTACTGTGGAAAGTTTGTTATTAATTTCATTTTCACCAGAATTTTGTATTTCTGTATAAAAAGGTAGGTAACCAAGAAATAGAGTGAGTGTAGTGACAACCTTGATTCAGACATAGACCATAGTCCAAAGCACAGTACCACAAACAACCATACTTCGAAAAGCATTACAATATGCACTTCCTTACAGTATTTGGAAACTGATTGGGCATAGGGCCTACTTGCAAAATCACCATCAACCTACATAATACCAGATTCATGTCATAGAATCTTCAGGAACAAATGCCCTGCTCACCAAATTGACACTTGGTACGGTTCTTGCCTCTAGCATTCAGTTCAGCAATAACTTCCAACCTCACTAACGTTTGACTGTACTCAGGTATTGGTAATATAGTCCTCTAAGAGCTATGATTCACTTGACACTATAGTAATTGGACAACATGAGCAAAATGACATAAGTAGTTATTGGGATTTATTTTTAATCAAATTATTGTTTTTCAAGCTTTCTAATCATAAAAATTGCAGCAGAAAATAGTTTTGGAAACCATTTCAGATTACAAATAGAAACTATCTTCTCTATAACTTCTGTAAAGTTAAATTTTTAAATGGGATTACAATATAAATCCTCCCATCTTAGCAGTAACAGCGGTTGGTAGTAATGTGATTATTTGAGTAAGACTCACCAGAGATAGCACAATTTCGAGCATGCTCGGCAAGAAAGATAATAACTATATCCTATAGCTGATGACCACAGAATTAAAACAACACAAACAAGGTAATCCATATTTTCAACTTTCTATCTCAGTTCAATCACTATTTACTAGCTGGGTAAGTATTTTTCCTCTTCTCTCACTATGACATTTGAACATATTTTCTCATAACAATTACTATCACGAGCAAGGAATAGAAAAAATGCATCAAGAGATTTACCTACTGTATTGTAATTTTTTAAGCGGAATAAAACTTTATAAAGACGGCACACACAGACACACACACCTCGAGATCATGGCAGCAACAGCACCGGCCCAGAGATGCTTAGCAGTGTTGAAGGTGGCCCCACCGCCTCCTCTCAATCGTCCCTTTTTCCCAACCTCCTCAAACGACGCCGTTTCAAAACCGCCCTCATTCTCGCTCTCCCCTGCATTGCCCAACACGCCGCTCACTGACAGCTGATCGTCACCGCAGCTCCCTTCACCACCGCCGCCACCATCGTTAATCGATGACAGCGTCACCGACATGAACCCTCCGCGCCGCCGCAGGGCGCAGCCTCCGACCATCGCCCTCCAGTGACTCGTCCGGGAAGAACACCGGATGATAGTCGTCCCGGCAGAGCTCTTCCTCGGATAAATTGATGAGGCCATTGCTGCCGGAGCCGATTCTTCTAGGAACAATCCGCCCATCGGCGGCAGATTGATCTGTTCCTCGGCCAAGATCCAGACGTAATGCTCTAAAGTAAGCATTTATACTAAAAAAATTATAAATGTGGATGTAAATCGGAGAAAATGTGAGTGAATTTTTACGAAGAGACGGAGAAAGTGGAGAGAGAATAATAGAACATTAAGAGGGTATTGATTCGAGAAACCATGATTCGGAGCATCAATATCATCGCCGAGCGGCAGGTACGCACTACTACGTACCCCTCAGTCAGGGACGGACCTGTATTAGGTCCAGGGGCCCGTGGGCCCGCTCAATTTTTTTTTTTTTTTAAAAATCATTATATATATATATATATATAAATACCATAAAAATGAATAAAAATGTAAAAAAAAAAATGTAGAATATATATAATTAAAACTTATTCTCAATGCTATTTTAATTTAAAGTAAATAATATTATTTATTTATTGAAAAGTATACTAAAACTCATTATATTTTACATTTCTGGATAAAATTTTGAAAATATTTATAATAATTTATTCATTCGGTCTTTTAATTGTAATTTCAATTTAATGATTTATAAAACCTAGATTTAGTTTGATTTTTATATTTTTTAATGTTAATCGATTGTAGATTTTAATGTTGATTTTTTACTTTATTATTTTTTTATGTAATCACATATTTTCAACTTTATTTAATTTTTATTAAAAAAATGGTCATTTGATAAGTTCTAAATAACAAAAATGATATGAAATGTGTTCAATTTAAATCAAATTTTGAACAAAAAAACTTATTTTTCATAAATTATAAATACACGAAATCTCATTTTTTTTCTTAAAAAAAGAGTTTGAGGGTAATACGGTTCTAAGTTCTTATAAAAACTTGAAGGTACACATATTAATATCTATAATTATAAGTAAACAAAATTTTATATAAAATGAGCGTTTCTATGTAAATTACAAACTCATTATTTAACATTAAAATCGGGCCCCCTGAATTAAAATCCTAGCTCCGTCACTGGCCTCAGTAATCCCTACACTTAGTTTTCCTACAGTTCTTGCAGTAACTGCTGTTATGCATTTTCAACATTATTATTATTATTTTTTTTTTGTCAAACGCGTAGTACAACCTGTACAATGTGTCAACTCACACTACATGAATCAAAAAAAGGTTAGGACACCAAGGAATACAAACTTCTCAAAGTCATGAATCAACGTTGTAATTTTTCAAGAACGTGAAGAACGAGACTTTGGTCTTCGCCGCAAAGTTGATATTCGATTTTCTTTACGCCAATCTTGACTTTAATAACGTAATTCGAAAACTTGACAGCTTGTTTACGAATTGAACGTCGGTCTTGAACTTTACGTGAAGAACACGGGTCATTGGTCTTCGCCGCAAAGTTGATATTCGATCTTCTCTACGCCGATTTTGACTTTAATAACGTAATTCGAAGCTTGACAACTTGTTTCTAGATTCAACGTCGGTCTCGAGCTTCAACGTGTTTGAATCTTGCTTTGAATCTTCAAGAATATATGTCGGTCTTGACTTTAATAACGTAATTCGGAGGCTTTACAGTTTCAAACTTGATATCAAGAATAGGGAGACAAACCTACAATCACGCTTACCGATATGCAACTGACTGAACAAGACATATGGCGCTTTGCTTAAGACCGCAATGCTACCCCCACTCGAACTCAAGAACTAAACTCAAGGCATTGCTCTGAATTTGGTTTTGAATTGAAGGTCGGTCTTGAGCTTGAAGGCGTTTGAATCTTGCTTCAATCTTCAAGAACTGTCGGTCTTGACTTTAACAACGTAATTCGGAGACTTGGCAGTTTGTTTGAAGGCTTGGCAGCTTGTTTTTGCATTGAACGTCGGTCTTGAACTTGAACACGTTTGAATCTTGCTTCGAATCTTCAAGAACACCTTTAAATCTTCAACAACACTTGAATCTCGTCGAAAGATTTCTCTATAGCTCTTGAACTTGAATATGAATTGTACTTTTGACCTTAGAGGAGCCCCTATTTGCATGTGTTTGGAGATAGATTTGGAAAAGAAGCCTTTAATTTCATTGGTAATAATTTTCAATATTTATATTTTTATTAGTTATTTAATTAATTAATTAACTATTTAAGTTTTTGCTGCTTGCGGAAGAAGTTTTTCCAAAGTACTCACTTATTTTGGATTGTATCCAGATGTGACAAGAAGTTTATAAGCTTTTGGATCGTAATATTTAGAATTTTAAAGCTCCTCTATATGTTATATTAATTCCATAATATCTTATCGAATTGTTCATTTTATTTTATCTTAGTTAACAAACTTTCTTTGTGTTTAACTTAAATATTTTACAAGCTAACTTTAACATTCTCATAATTAATGTTCAGGCTAAAAAAACAAGATTAAAAGAGTTAGAATAAATGATAACCCTATTATTTTGACTCAACGTTGATCAAACTAAGTGAAAAAATAGATGATAACCCTATTGCTTTTTAAAATTGAAAAGACAAAACTTGTGAAAACAACTCATTTAATATCTCTTTCTTGTGCATCGCACAGGATATGTACTAGTTTTCTCACAGGCACGTCAAAGTATATACTTCATACTATGTCATAAAATTACTTACAAGATTCTTGGTCCAAATAGAATTGGATGTGGAGTTTGATATTTCCATTTATGCTAATTATCTCGATTCAAAATGTTGCAGATATAGCAGCATAAACAACAAGAATCTCTACATCTCATCTGCAGACACATAACAACAAACAATCACCAAAACTTTATTGTCTTTGACGGTTCATACCAATAAATATTTCATTCATGAAGATCGATCACCAATTGCAAAACAAACGCTAGCCGCAAATGAAGCGTTCATCTTCTGACAGAAACTAAAAGAACCTCATAGCCATAGGGAATCCAGACACCAGCTACATTACATGTACACATATTTGAATATGATACAAACATTTATACACACATTATCAGTGAATGTGACCTGCCATAAATATCACAAAGTTCGAAAACACAGCTTATCACTTACAAACATTGATGCGTAAATAAATGCATTGATCCATTTAATGAAATACTCAAAGAGCTTCTGAGAACCGCAGCTCAACTGGACCAGGGCCTAATACGCCTTTCTGTTCAGTTATTTTAGCCATCCCTGAACTCGACTCAGGCTGCGTATTCTTGTCATCCTCTCTCCATAAAGCCGCTTGACGCTCTCTTGGCGGCATCACAGCTGCCTGGCTTGGTTATCAGACAGAATATCAGTGCGGACAGTTTTATGTGATCTAGTAGGCTATTTCAATTTGAAAAAAAAAAAGTGAGTAAATAATAAGAAAAGTCAAATTAATCCGGACTCTTCGTTAAATAGTCAGCTTGATCGGCACTCGACAAGAGTCAGAATATGCATGCGAGAGTAGTGGGAACGTGATAGTAGGCAAATATTAAAATCATCAAACTAACAATTGACTGGTCAGCTACTGTGGAACTCTCTCAATACCAGTAATATCAATTCTTCAAAGTACTGGTACTGTGCATTACACAGCACTCGGGGTATGAATGGAGAGTAACTTCTCCATTTCATACAAAAAAAATAAAAAAGGTAAAATTCCATGCTCTATAAATTACTACCAATGATTATGCAAACCAAGTGTGACATCTACATGATCGAATCCGAAGGAGCTTAAACATGATTGAAGCAACTTCGAGTACTAGGAAATAATTGACTATATGCTAATATATGTGGCTGCATGGAATGAGATGATGATGATGGTATGCTGGTGAAACATGAACACTTATACCTGGTGAAGGGATGAATTAAAAATGGAAACAGGTTTAGGGTACTTAATCTTCAATCAGTTACTTTTTTGCAGAATACCTTATTACAATTCAATTAGTTACTCTAGTTTTCACCACCAGATAAACTTCAAAAGAACCAGATGTCCTTGTACTTCAAGGCCGTTTCAGGACCTTGGAGGAAAATTTTGACCTTAAACATAAACCAAGTGATTTGAAAACAAGTTCTGGTCAGAGTTTTTTTTCCTTCATTAAATTTTTGTCTGAATTAATGCATCTCTATGCTAACCATGTAGACTATGCATCCAACAATCTATTTGTGATTGGATTTTCGTCAATTCTATGCTCACAACTTTCATCGTTTACAATCTCTGTTCCCCATCTTCAATACAAAGAAGCTGCAATTGTTCTTGAGAATGGTTTCATGCTTTTCACACCTTTGCCCTTTGCAGTATCCTATCTCCTTAAGGTAAAATTAATTTTTGTCTTGTTCCTTGTCTTTAATGTCATGATACTATGTCCAAAAGAGTGATTACCAACAAATAAGCTTTCATTAGCTCCAAAGACGTTTGGACTGACTCCTCCAGCTGATGCCACTCCGTAGTCACTATCTCTAGACTATCCTAAAGGTCTAATGATAAATGCCCAAGTAGACCAAATAACACATCACATACACACACACATACAAAAAAAAAAAAAA